CCAGTATTTCGCCGAAGCGGATGCCCACAACGAGACTGCTAGGAAGGCGAAGCGGCAGAAGCTCCATAGTATCATGGCCCCGACACCGCCACGACTGCAGAGTTCGCGCATCTGGCTAGAGTGCCACGATGAATGGTTGAATCAAGTGCCAGCCGGCCTCGCGCAGAACGTCGTGGCGGAGATGCACGAGGCCACTCTGTTCGTGGTTGCCAACGCAAACAGGATTCCTCCTGCGGTGCACTGGTCGGCAATGATGCGCGGATACGACGTCGTGAACCTTCAGTTCCTGAGCAGCAGTGGCGCCGCCGGAGTAGCCTTCAACTTCGACCCGAGCTTCTCCATCCGCAGAAGCGTTCTCGTGAGCGAAGAGTTCTGGGCTGCTGAGCCAGAGCTGGCTGCCGTTGTTGAACTGGCGATGGCGGCACCAAACTCCAAATGGCGAGAATTACATGATTGGGATGAGTTTGCGGAGAAATACGAGGCCACGGCAGGACCTCATCTCCCGGCGACAAACCGGAAGCCCAAGCAAGTCATAGCTCTTACCACTCGGGAAATCAAGGACGAGATGCAGATGGACAGTGTCATGTGCCGGGAAGACTTCCAAGACTTCCTGTCACGCGTGGCCTGCACGAAGCGTTCGCTCTGCGGCGCGTAATTTTCGAGTGTATCAAATCGTATGCATACATGCATATGTATTGTACTTATAATATGTGTTGCAAGCATGTACATGAGTAATTATATCCTAAGGTTCCATCGTTTACATGCAATGTCGTGCATGCCTGCTGCCACGCGTGTGAATTCGATTGGCCTCCGGTGCAATTTCAGGAGAGGGGTCAAGATATTTGGTCTCGGCTGCGGCGAGGGTTCTTAAATTGAATGATCGTGCATGAGTTCGCAACCATTAGATTCTGAAGTGCCGCATTTGCCGACCGTGTCATGCAGAAGAATCTGCGCAAGCTTAGGCTGCGCTGCGCACATGATTTACAGCTGTGCGCAGACAAACTGCGGTGATGCATTCTCCAGTGGCCTGCGGGGCTACTCTACCATGGATTGGAGCAGGGGAAATACGGGGCGAAAAAATTCTTCTGATTTGTCATGTGCCCCAGTGCCCTTCTGATTTGTCATGTGCCCCAGTGCCCTTCTGATTTGTCATGTGCCCCAGTGCCCTGAGTGAGTCGCTTCAGAATCGTGTTCAAGCATGCCAAGCTCAACAGACCCACGCTCAGAAAGTTGTTCCCTGCAAACATCTCGCCGTGTGCATCAGGTTGCGCTGGGATGACTGCCAATGCCCCAGGGAGCTTTTTCCATTGTGCAAGAGCTGGCACAAGTCAATAATACTTCCCTGCGGCTGAACATGACAGTGAGTGTGGCATAGTTGTTCTTCTGACCTGTCATGCGCCCCAGTGCCCTGAGTGAGTCGCTTCAGAATCGTGTTCAAGCATGCGAAGCTCAACAGACCCACGCTCAGAGGAAGTTGTTCCCTGCAAACATCTCGCCGTGTGCATCAGGTTGCGCTGGGATGACTGCCAATGCCCCAGGGATGTTTTCCATTGTGCAAGAGCAGGCATGTCCACAGTAATTCCCCGCGGCTGAGAATGAGAGTGAGCGTTGCGTAGTTGTGCGAAATCGGCAAGTTCAGCGAGCCAGCAATCTAACTGCCAAGCGTGGCTGCTCGAGTAGGCTGAGTCGGCGCACGTAGCCCAATTCAATGGCCCCCAAGTCCAAGCATGCTATGGCTGAGAAGGCTTCCGTCACTGCAGACACGCCCCTGACCCAACTGCCAATACGCGAGCTCCGAAAGTTGTGCGTGGAGGTGGGCCTGAAGGTTCGGGGCAATAAACACGAGCTCATCGAGCGTTTGGAATCTGTTGGGCTGACACAAGCAGAAGCCCGACAGCACCCAGGCCAGGGAAGGCTATGTGCTTCTGCCAAGCAGGACGGTCAGGAAGAGCCTCGTCCATGCCCGGCAACTCCTGCACGTGGAAAGCGCCTCCGCAGCCGCTCCACAACGCCTGTATATTGCAAGCGCCGAAGCCGAAGGCAATGCAGGCAAGTGGTTTTTTTCGAGCCGGCCACGAAGAGGGAAGAGATCGTCGATGATCGCACATCCGACTCTGAAGGGATTTCGTTGGACGACAGTGCCAGGACAGAAGAGGCCAGTGAGGATGGGGATTCATCACTACGCAGCGACTGCATAGCCAGTGACTTGCAAGGTGAGGATGGGGATTCATCACTACACAGCTCCTGCAGTGATATTGGCACCGAGGGCACGGAATCTTCAAACGGCGAGGATAACGACGGGACACAGGAGGTTTCGGACTCTTGCAGTGACGAGGAGAAGACCATCATTGGCGATCTAGTTCCGAGAGTGTGAAGTCACCACATTGGTCTCGGGTCATCTGAAGCCCGAGAGTGGGGGCCTAGCTTTCGACCTGTGCCGAGGGAGGAAGAAAATTGCTTTCAAACCTGGAGTGCGCACGCTGAGTTGCACATGACCCTTGCTGTGCCGAGGGAGGAAGAGAATTGCTTTCGAGGTTGGAGTGCGCACGCTGAGTTGCACATGACCGTTGCCCGAGGCACTAAAGGGCAGCGCCGCCGTGCGGACCGGCAGGCGACTCGGGTGTTCCCAGGAGTTTGCAGGTGTAGGCGTGTTCCCAGAACGCATCCTTAGCAGTAGCCCGGTTGGAAGCTGCCTCACACTGAACACATGATCGCGGAGCGCAGAGCTTGTCATCTTATAATCAGAAGACATGGTTGCGGACCCGGCGGACGCAGCATTCTGAACTCAAGAGTTCTTGCGCCCCGTATCGTCATTGGTGATCATCAAGCAGAGTCACTGATGGCTGCGAGCCCTGCCGGTGCCGTCAACTTGGAAGCTCAGCTGGGCAAGGACATCGCGACAATCGTCGGGCACCCGCTGTTCACCGACATTCATGCTGCATCACCTTCTGCTGCTGGCCACTCTGCCTTTGCAACCAAGGCTGGGAAGTCTGCATGGGACTAGTTGTTCGTAACCTGTTGTGGGACGCAGCATCTGCTACACCCGGACAATTCATGAATACGTTGCACATGTTCTATGTTCCGTCTTAGTGTCGCTTGCAGATTCATTCAAACTACACAAATGAAACCCTGTCCACGGAACGTGCACAGGGCCGAAGTTCGTTGCGTGACAGCCTCTTTTCCGCGGTGTCTTTTTGGGTCATTGCTGGGCGTCATGGTTGCGGTTGTGTTTCTGGAGGCCCCGGGCCCGAAATTCTAGGCGTGACGGGCTCTTTCCCGTCACGCGGTGGACCGTCTTCTTTTTCCCGTCACGCGGAGGTTCCCGGCCCGAAATTCTAGGCGTGACGGCCACCTTTCCATCACGCGGTGGACCGTCTTCATTTTCCTGTCACGTGGAGGTTCCCGGCCCGAAATTCTAGGCGTGACGGACGTCACGCGGTGGACCGCCATTTTTCCTGTCACGGGGAGGTTCCCGGCCCGAAATTCTAAGCGTGACGGGCTCTTTCCCGTCACACGGTGGACCGTCTTCTTTTTCCGGTCACGCGGAGGTTCCCGGCCCGAAATTCTAGGCGTGACGGCCACCTTTCCATCACGCGGTGGACCGTCTTCATTTTCCTGTCACGTGGAGGTTCCCGGCCCGAAATTCTAGGCGTGACGGGCGTCACGCGGTGGACCGCCATTTTTCCTGTCACGCGGAGGTTCCCGGCCCGAAATTCTAGGCGTGACGGGCGTCACGCGGTGGACCGCCATTTTTCCTGTCACGCGGAGGTTCCCGGCCCGAAATTCTCGGCGTGACAGGAAACTTTCCCGTGACGTGGGGGAACTGGCTTGGCTGGCAGCCAGGGAAGCGTTTCTGGAGGTTCCGGGCCCAAAGTTCTACGCATGACAGCCTGTTTGCCGTGACAGGTGGTGTAGGGAATCGGTGGGGGACAAAGAGGGTGCTTCGGAAACACAGGGGCCAGAAGTTCTTTGCGTAACGGCCTCGGCCTTGTTGCCGTAACGGAGGCTCCCCACCCGAAATTTTATGCATGACATGCAGGCTCTTTCCCGTCACACGGTGGACCGCTTTGTTTTCCCGTCACGCGGAGGTTCCCGGCCCGAATTTCTAGGCGTGACGGCCACCTTTCCCGTGAAGCCTTCCTCTTCCCGTCACGCGGAGGTTCCCGGCCCGAAATTCCAGGCGTGACGGGCTCTTTCCCGTGACGCGGTGGACCCCAGTTTTTCTTGTCACGCGGAGGTTCCCGGCCCGAAATCCTAGGCGTGACGGCCACCTTTCCCGTGACGCGTCACGCGGAGGTTCCCGGCCCGAATTTCTAGGCGTGACAGGCTGTTTCCCGTGACGTGGTGGTGTAGGGGGAACGGGCGTGGCTGACAGCCAGGGACGCATTTCTGCAGGTACCGGCCCAAAATTCTGAGCTCGAAATTCCCTGGGTGACGGCGTCTTTTCCGTAACGCATGATCTTAGGTAACAGCTTTGAAACCCGGCGGGTGCGTTCTGAGGCTGTGGGCCCCTAACTCTCTGCGTGACGGCCTTTTCTCCGTCACGCCACTTATGCTTGTCACGCTACGCGTGTTTGGCTTCAAGGCCCAGCGTGACGCTTAACGCGCTTCATTCCCTCTTAAGCCGCAGTCTTCGCTCGACGGCCTCGGGTGCCCGAGCCTGTCGGGTTGTCGTTCCTTGCAGTTCCTCTTTTGGGTGGGTGAGGCTGGACGAGTGGACAGGGTACCGGTACCCTATCCACTCGACGGCCTCGGGCGGGGGAGGCTGCTGAGGCGGGGCGGGTAAAGCTGGCCGAGTGGAGAGGGTACCGGTACCCTCTCCACTCGGCCAGCTTTACCCGCCCCGCCTCAGCAGCCTCCCCCGCCCGAGGCCGTCGAGTGGATAGGGTACCGGTACCCTGTCCACTCGGCGGAGGCCTCGCACGTTCCAGCTGTTGCTCTGTGATACACGTGAACATGTTCGGTTAGCAAGCACACTTGCCCTGCAGGCTCCCTTTGTCATGAAGACGTTCGATTTGGCCATGCAGAAGTCCGGAGAGTACGCGTGCACGGGCAACCTCATGTGGCTAAGCATGACTTGGAATCCATGGCCAGAGGTCCATGTTTCCTCCTACGGCGTGGACGTTCTAAAACGAGACTTCTGGAGCTCCCCCAGGACGTGGCCGTATCAGCTGCCGGTCGTTGTGGGCGTGCTTCCGGGTACCACAGGGGCAAAGGTAAAAGCTGGGTTCGGTGGCCTGCATCGAGTCAGCCCTCCGGAGCTCATCATGGCCCTCATGTCACAGGTCGCGCATGAGATCCGCGAAGGTGCGGCCGACGAGCGGGTGGAACAGTGGCGTGAGACAATGCTCCACGCATCTTTCGTCTTCCAGGCGGGGCAATTTCGACAACGCTGTTGCTATCATCTTAATTATCAGCCTCCGGAATGCACAGGTCTGCCAGGACGAGGATGAGCTGAAGTGGTATTCGCTGAATGCTCGGGAGGAGTATGTCTCCGCTGCAGAAGCCTTCTGCAGATCGGCCCTTCAGCGGATTCTGGAGTTGGCTAACCTCAGGGATTCTGTGCGAACAGCGCAGGGTGGAGGAGCTGTGAAGCCAGAAGATCTGCATAAGGCGTGGTCGAAGCGCTTCAAGAAGAGTTCATCCAAGATGAGCGAAGAGGCCAAATATCGGATTTTATCCGTGCATGCTGCATGTCGTTCTGCAGCGCGTTGTGTGTGGGGCACTGCGCGCCAGTCTAAGTCTGCGATAGCTTGTTGTCGTGTGTTGTGAGCCATCCTGGTGTGCTGATTGAGAGGGTGACCAGACCTGTTGAGCCCGGCAGGTGAGCGTGACGTTTGTCAAGACCGGCCTGCGACTCCATGACAACTTCCTAGCTGGCTCCGGTGTCCGTGATGCGATCGTCTCCTTGGAGTCCAAGTACGGCACGGCCTCCCCATTCCACAACCTGGGCAGCCTAGAGGCGCTTTCCAAGACCGCGAGCAAGGATCCGAAGCTGGCTTGCTTCGTGGTTGCCGCTGTGCAAGACCTGCATCAGCACGGCTTCATGGATGTGGCCCAGATGAAGGGTGGTGGTTTCGCAGGCTCGAAGACGAGCCTGATCGAGTGCCTGGCGGCCAAGGCACGGATCATGGAGTACTTCATGCATGAGTGGATGCCGAAGAACGGGTTCGACCCCACGGCCGTCGGCATTTTTGCAAGGCGAGTGTGGCTGGCAGGGAACTGTGGTTCTTGATACTACTAATTAAAGTTCGGTGACGGCCCCTGCACAGGACTTGTGCAGCAGCGTGTGGGTCTGGCGTTCGAAGTGTGGTGGGGGCTCTGCTCGTGTGGACACGAGCTGGCAGGGTGTCCTTCCGCCGGCGACCCTGAAAGCCATCCTGTTTCTGGAAGCCGTCGTGTTCTCCACTTCGCTGGATGCCCAGTTGAAGAATAGTCTTCGCAGCGCAAGCTTGGCCGTGGAACTTTGTGGCCAGAAGCCCTTCGACGACATGCTGAAGGAAGTGGCAGAAGTGCTGGGGACCGTCAGCCACGTGCAGGAGACCCCGGGCAATGAGAAAGACACGGCGGCACCCGCAAGCAGCACGGATGGCCTCAGTGCTGAGTCTCTGGGCGTTCCGGCGACTGTGGCGACGGAGAGAACCGCTCCGACTTGTCGGTAGCGCTTTCTAAGTAGACAGAACTGTAGGCTCGCAGAGCGAGCCGGGGCGGGTCCAGTATCGTGTACAGTCTTGCGGTATGTGGTAGTTTCACTCAAAGCAGAATTTTTACATGTGATTTTCACGGTGAATTTTTCATGAATGTTTTTCCTGGCATTTTCGGCATGCGAGATTCACTTTGTGATTTGATCTCAATCAGCATGGCCGCGCTCGCCCTCTCAAGCAACAGAAGGGCGGGGCCCAACATTCATGAAATTTTTGAACGGCCTAGGGGGGGCCGTGCATGGACCGGCGTCTTCGACGCCCGCCGCCGGCTCGCCGCCGCTTGCTTCTGTTGCACTTGTGCCAGTGCTTACTCGTGAGGGGCTGGCAATCTGAGATTCTTCGGCCGGAGCCTCCCTTGCGAATCAACCTTGTGCACCTGCTTGGGGCCACGGCTCCCGGGGCTCGGTTCCTTCTCCTTGCAGGGGTCACTTGTTTTGACAGTTTGCAGCCCGTGAGCCGCGCAATTGCTGCTATCTTTGCAGCCATCCGAGAGCAGGTGCAGTCTGCGCGCCGGCGCCTGGCTCTTGCTTACAACCGTCCTTGACATGAGTGACTCCGCTCGCCAGGTCGATGAGCTTCTCCGCACCATTGATCTTACAGACGCCGGGGGGATTGAGGATCAAGAAGCCGGTTCAGTCGTGCCAGAGTCTGACCAGAACATTCCTGCTGCACCAAGCTTAGATCAAGAGATTCCGGACAACCAGCTGTTGTCATTTCTTGAAGATGATGAGGTGTGGGACGGCCGATCCCTTAGCGCCCCTGACCTTTCTTGTGCTGCTGAAATTTCTGAATCGGAGAGGGAGTGGTACTTGATTGCGGGGTCGTTCGGGGCAGCCGCTGCAGAGTGTGCGCCTAGTGAGCAGTCACCACCGAGCTTGGAGCCAGAGCAAACTCTGGCAGTCCCGGCCCTGGACAGCATCGCCGAGGACCAGTTGCAGCAGAGTGCCGTGGGGCATATCCATAAGAGGCTCCGCTTGGAAGCCCCACTCCTCCCGTGGGAGACACAACCGTTTGCCGCAATCTTCGGGGGCCCATCTTGGCATGACACCTTGCAGCGCCGGATCAATTTGGATCTAATGCCTGGGGTAGGTAGTGCCGACGTCCTTAAGCCTGCCGTGCCTAAGGTTCCTGCCCCTAAGCCCCAGATCGTAGCAGCGTCACTTGCGAACCGTCTTCACCGCTTCCGGCCGGAGGCTTCAGACGAAGATGTTCGCAATCTTGCCTTAGCCAAGCTCAAGGTATTGATTACTAGTGACCCTCTGGCCAGTGAGCTGGGTAAGTCCTTGATTGATAAGCTGGGAGGTCTGGTGCAAGAGGCTGTGGTAGCTCAGTCCTTTGCAGATGCTTTCCGTGCCAAGGCATCATCCACGCTCAATGGGCATGCTTGTGCGCTTACACGGTTCAGCGCGTGGTGTGCTTGCCAGGCGGCAGAACCTCTTCGAGTTGATGAGGAGCAGCTATATGCGTACTTGTGTGAAATGCGGTCCTCCAACCGGGGGGCTACTTCGGGAAACAAGTTTTTGCAGTCGCTGACTTTCTTGGAGTACTCCGTTGGATTGATCTTCTTTTCAACTGATGTGGCAGTATCTGCGAGGGTTCGGGGCGTAGCTCGTGACATGGCCCTCACCAAGGCTCCGCTGTCTCAGAGGCCCCCACTCACTGTGGAACAGGTTGCGGCACTTGAGGCCCTACTTGTTAACGACCTGAATGATACCGACGCCTGTGTGCTGGGCCAGATACTCTTTGCTGTCCACTCTGCCGGCAGGTGGAGGGATATCCAGGGGTTGCAGTCCGTGGATGTCTCCGAAGGTTCTGAGACCACCCTGTTGCTTGCAAATGGCCTGAAGAGCAAGACCACCCAAACGGCTGAGGCGCAAAGGAGGCTCTTGCCGTACGTCGCAATCTCCACTGGTGTCTCGGGTTATGACTGGGGTGACCGGTGGCTCACCGCCCGCAGGAACGAGGGCCTTCAGTGGGGAGGCGACTTCTGTCTCCCTTCGTTCTCCTTGAGGCTGGGGCAGTGGAGCACGGCCCGCATGGGTTCCGGAGAGGCGTCAGCATACCTTAGAGATTTTCTTGAGGCCGTTAATCTGCCGAACAGCAAAGTTGGGACCCATAGTCTTAAGACCACCTTGTTGACGTGGGCGAGCCGCTCAGTTCGAATCGACTTCAGTGAGCCCGAAAGGCTGCACCTGGGCCACCATTCGGCCCCGGGCACCAGGTCGATGCTCGTATACAGCAGGGAGGCTTACTCCAAACTTTACGCTAAGGTCCTAGCGATGTTCAAGACGATTGAGGAGGGATCGTTCAATCCAGATTTGCCACCGGCCCGCCGGGTGGAGCACCTCGCCGAGGCCATCATGGTAGGGAGCTCGCAGGCGTCCAACTTGGGGCAGCACGCCCCAGCCGGGGAGGATAGTGCCTCCTCCGACGATTCCGACGCGGGGATCCCAGAAGGTCACGGCGGGCGGCAGGCCGCAGACTTGGTTCGGGGGGCGTTCCCGGATCAGTTCCTTCAGGACATCGTGGTGCACAGGTTCTCGGGCATATCGCATGTTGTTAAGGACTCCGGCATGCTTTGGTGCCATCGGCCTGTAAGTTCGAACTACACGCCACTGTCCGAAGCCGGCGTTGCTGCTGAGTTCCCTACTGCATGCCATCAGTGCTCGAGAGCCCTGGGCCTGGTAGGTGACTAGATCTATAAACCCGTTGCGGCGGAACTGCGAAAAGAATTGCCTGTGTCGTGTCTGTCATGCTCTCTTTGACTCTCTTGTAAGTGCATGGGCGTAGTCTTCCTGAGGGGGACGACCCAAACGATGCGCTACCTTTGGAGCCGGGACAGCGAGCGTTGGCATGTCACTTGCCGCTTGTTGCCCGTAGGCTCAGGAATCGCGAGTCAAGCTGGAGAGTTAGCGACGGTCATGCATGGGTCCATGTCACACTTGATGCTGGGATAGGATGCAGGCTGACACTCTTAACACATTGCTGCTTACATCATTAGCATCCAGCGCTGATCATGGCTTCAGGTCTCGACTCTTCTGCTTACTTCCTCGAGCGGCTCGCGAAGGTTGGCTTGTCAAATGAGCTGAGGGACGCGCTGGCCCGAGCCGGGTACACGACCTTTGGGGCTCTTGCCTTTGCGGTCTCCTCGACCCCGGGTGCAGCTAGCGATGAGGCCGTCTCCCGGTGGGCGCAGCACCTTGCAGATCCGCTACCGAGTGAGCACCAAATGTCAGTGTTGCGCCGCCTGCTCTTCGAAGCGCAGTCAATGTCGATTGCCGAGATGCGCGACCGGGTAAATCAGGCGCCAGGCGAGGCTCCCACTCGCAAGCTGCCAATGATAGAGCGGGCTGAAAGGCTCAAAGCCCTGCGTCGAAAGCTGCCTGGACTTATCTTGACCCCGGACACTCTGCCAGCAAACCGCTTAGTGGATAACTACGTTGACCAGCTTGATTCGGGTGTGCTCAGCTACGTCAAGCCAGACGCGTGCATCAGCCGAGCACAGGAGATGGATTCCAACAAGAGGGATCCGACCTTGCAGGTACAGGGAAATGAGCTGAAGCTTGCCGCCAAGCAAGTGGAGCTGAGGTGCTCCATCAGCACTGACATGCAGTTGAGGCAAGCTTGGACTCGGAGGTCTCTTGCAATGGAGCTTGCGCAGCTGGCCTCTTACACCGTGCTAGAAACCTGGGTTCAAAGCCTGTTCTCGAGGATGCAGCGGGAGCCTCCTGCGGGGTATCACTCAGTCTCGCTCTCTCAGGTTATGGCTGCAGACCGGGAGCTGTTTCAGCTGTTGTCGCACAACCTTATGGGGCAGATCCAGGCGTCGGCTGGCGCTGCTCGACCCCTAGATCTGGAGATCGAAAGCTTAAGCAAGAGCACTGACGTGCTTGTGCACTTGCTGCCGCTTGTGAAGCCTCCTCCGATGCCTCACCCGACAAAGCGACCTCATCCCGATCCTAAGCTCCCGCATAAGACTCCGAAGGGGAAAGGCAAGGGTAAGACCGCTGATCAAAACCAGGATGATGGGAAGGCGCCTAAGTACACATTGCCCGATGGATGTGTTCCCAAGAGCGAGGACGGCAAACCCTGGTGTTTCCTGTGGAATCAGGGCCGATGCAAGTTCAAGAATCCAAAGAAGGGCCGATGCCCTCGGGGCTACCACGGGTGCTATTACCGAGGGTGTGGCAGGCCAGTGCCATTCATCGAGTGCACTCACACCGATCCCGCCTGAATGGCGGGGGCCCCCGCGGGTCCTGAGCATGAGACCATGCCCGAGGGGGCCGCGTCTCCCAATCCATTTTTGGCTGAGGGCCTCAGTGGCCCCGAAACACAGGATGCCGAGAGCTTCGCGCTGAACCTCCTGGCGAAGGCCGAGATCCCTGCATCTTCTGTGGCTCAATTGTCATTCCTTTTGCCATGCGATTCCAGTGTTCGGCCGTCAAGCGGCCCCAATGCCTTCCTTTTCAGCTGTGGTGCTTATGTCCACGGGGGTGTCACGGGTACTTTTGCTAATACTCGAACCCTGCCTGCATGCACCCAGCTCCTTGCGCGTTTTGCAAAGCAGTTCGTCGGGGACTCTTTTCCATTTACATCCCTTGTGCTCCTCCGGGACAACCTCACTCGCATGCATCGTGATCGTAATAATACCGGCCTTAGCGCGTTGATCCGATGCTCAGATTTTGAGGGTGGAGGTCTATGGGTTGCCGACCCCAAGGGCTCCTCGCCCATGCATTTCGAAGGCAAGGTGCATCAGGGCTCCACTCGGGAGCTTGACCGCTGCCTGTACTTTGATCCGCGTCACCTGCATTGCACCTTACCATGGTCCGAGGGTCCTCGAATTGTCCTTGCAGCCTACTCAGTTCGAGATGCTTGTAAACTCCCACAGGCCGATGCTGACTTGCTGCTCAAGCTTGGATTCGTTCGGGGCCCGGGCAAAGTTGAAGTGCCTTCGACTGTGGACTTGCAGCCCAATACCCAGGCTTCCCCTAGTGGTTTAGGCCCTGCTTGCAGTCTCCCTTTGGGTGTTGGCGAGCCAACTTCTACGAGCCCAGCAAAGCTGGATCCGCCTGCCCAGCGACCCTTGTTCATCGAGCTCTTCGCTGGATCCGCAGGCCTGTCTCGGGCCATGCTCGACTTTGGGTTCGAAGTCGTTACCTTCGATCATTACGTCAACCACCCTAAGGCCCCGGTCTGTAAGCTGGATTTGGCCACTGCCTCTGGTCAATCGGTTGTCTGGGATCTTCTTCAAGCCCGAGTGCCCTTTGCCGTACATCTCGCGCCTCCGATTCTTGCTGGCCATGAGGCCCTTTTGGAGTTCTGTTGTGACATCGTCGGCTGGTGCACCCAACATGATGTCGTCGTGTCCCTTGAACAGCCTGACCGAAGTGAAAGCTGGGCCCTGCTCACGTCGATGGCTCGATCGCGTCTCCCAGCCGCGAGCCTGTCCAAATGGGCTGGCCTCCAGAAGATCGTGTACCCCCTCTGTATGCACGGGGGGTCGAGCCGGGCCCTGTCTCGTCTCCTTTGTACGGCTCGGGTTTTTGACACTCTGGCTGTTGCCTGCGACGGCAAGCATTGGCATGGTCCGCGCCCCGGACCTTGGGCTGCGCCTGCAGCCTACCCGCCGGTCCTCTGCCATCGCCTAGCCGGCTGCCTGCTCCAGTGTGCCAAGGCTCGGAATACTGCCCCGGGGCCGCTCTCCCGAACTAAAGAGGCCTCGACTGCTGCAGTGGGCCGCCAAACAAAGCGCCATGCCCCTTTAGTGCCCGAGTACCGCGCCTTTAGGGTAGTCCCGTCGGGTTCTAAGCTTCAGCCCTCCGAGCGCATCCTCTCTGCCAAGTGCGCGGGGGGATCAACCGAGGATGGACCCGAAATCTCGGGGAAGCAGTGGAAACTGGGGATATTGCATTCCCCCCCTGAGTTTCTGAATAAGGCCTTAAACTGCCCTCACCCCTTCGATGCCGCCAGACCGTTGTCTAAACACTTTCTGCATGCCCTTGAAGCTGTGATGACGACACCCCCTAAGGTCTTAGAGCTCAAGAGGAAATTGGCGATTGCTAAGGCTGAAATTCTTGTCAAAAAGCTCAGCTGCTCTGAGAAGGCTAGGCACAATGCCCTACCGGATCATATGAAGAAGGTGCTTGAAAGCAAGAATCTTTCTCTCTTCGAGGCGCTCCTCAAGGAACATGCTTACTGGGACATGGGGGTAGTCCAGCTCATGGAACAGGGAGTGGACCTTGTTGGGTTTCAGGACACCCCTTCTTGCTATCCCCAAAAGATTGCTCCTGCCACCATGTCGAGGGACGAGTTCCTTGACTCCGCCGAATGGAGGCGGCGGGCTCTCACAACACCCGGCGCCAGGGCTCCGGATGCAGGGCAGCTCGCCCACCTTGAGCAGACATGCAAGGAAGAGGTAGACCTTGGGTTCATGCTGGGACCCTACACGGAGGATCAAGTGTCCCGGCTGTTCGGCCACACTCGCTGGTCGTGCATCCGGCGGTTCGTCTTGGAGCAGAAGCCAGGGAAACTTCGGCCCATAGATGACGCAAAGGAAGCCCTTGTGAACAGCGCCAGCACCTCAACGATGCGACTCGAGCTCGAGGACGCCGACTACCTGTCTGCTATGGCTCTCGAGGTTGCCCGACGCATCCTGGCAGACCCTTCCAAACCCGGTGCGGTGCCATGGGTAGCCAGGTGTCTTGACTTGACGAAAGCCTACAAACAGATGTGTGTCTCGGAGCGTGACCTGCCGGTCTCGGTGGTCTTCTTTCTTGATGGACAGGGCAAGCCCAGGTACTACGTGAGCCACTCGCTGTTATTCGGGTGCACATCGTCAGTATTTGCATTCAACAGGGTGTCCAAAGCAATCTCCTTCCTGTTGAACCAAATGTTGCTTGTGCCAAGCTCCGTGTTCTACGACGACTTTCCTCTTCTGTCACCGAACAACACAAGTGACAGCGCAACGTGGGCCACAACCGCACTGCTTGATCTTCTGGGCTGGGGTCACGCCCGCGTGGGCAAGGACGCTAAAGGCGTTCCATTTGCGGCAAGCTTCGAGGTCCTTGGGATGTCGATGCAACTTGATGGTGTTCACCGTGGACGCCTGACCCTTCAGAACAAAGCCGGACGTATCGAGCAGCTCGTGGCCTTGTTTCAGGGATTTCTTGACAGGGGTGCCATCACGGTGCACGAGGCACAAGTCGCCCATGGACTCTTGAACTTCTCTGCAGGCTATGTGAATGGTCGGGCCTTACGCTTAACATGCCAGGAGCTCCTTCGCTTGACAAAGGCTTCGAGCCCCGCCTCTTCGAAGGCGATCCGCAGCTTCTGCGTCAACAGCATTGAAGCCCTCCGTGCACTTAGCCCTCGCGTGCTCAGTGTGTGGGACAGCCGAGCCCCGATACACATCTTCACGGACGGTGCGTGGGAGCAGCGCCGAGCCGGAATCGGTGCCGTCATCTTTGACACAGCTTCCGGCAAGTCGTGGACTTATGAGGGTCTCGTCCCAGAGCCGCTCATCCTCCGATGGGAGGCCGAGGTCGGGACTCAGCTCATTTGCCAGATCGAGTTGTACGCGGTGGTATGCCTGAGGTGGGCCCTGGCTTCCACCTTTGACCACAGGCGCTTGATTTGGTGGATCGATAACGAATCGGCACGATATGGTCTGATCAAAGGCATTTCGGATAGTCCTTCG